GTATTCAAAATGTAATTTTTTTTTAAAAGACAAGCATTTAAAGGTTTTTTTTTTAATTATTTATAGAATAGAATAGAAAATCATTTATTCAAATAATCTTACATTGAAGCACTTTTGAATAGTCATTACATTTTTTTTTAATCTACCGCTCGTTCGGAAAGCTGTCTCATCACAAGAAGAACGAGCAAGAAACTTGCGTGTTGCTCTTTTAAATAATTTTATTCTTACTTACAATTTAAGTTTAAGTGTATGAATACAAACTACCGATTAGACTAATTCAATTAAATAATAAAATAGAAAAAACAAACAAACAAAACACAACAACTGGTTAAACAATTAAATTGGTTTTTCTTTTAAAGTTTTAAATTTATACAGAAGTATAGTATATCATTTTAAAAGTATTTAGATAATGATTAAGACGGCGTGGTTAATTTAATTGACTTATATGTCATTTTTCTATTTAATTGACGATATCGCTTTAAACCTAAGCTAAATCGCTACCCTTCCGAGGCCGTCAAAATATTTCCCTACTATAAGTAAGTACTTAGTAGATGGTAACTTTTTATTGTTCACTAGCTGTTCCCGCGACTTCGTCCGCGTGGAATTTAACTTTGTTTTTCTAAAATAAAAGTAGCCTAAGTTACTCCTTATTACATCAGCTACCTGCCAATAAAATTCCGTAAAAATTCGTCCAGCCCTTTTAGAGATGAAGACAGACAGACAGACAGACAAAAATGTTGGCGTATGTACCGTTCATACGCATGTAGTAAAAAACGGTTATTTCAATATTACATACCGACACTTGCAATTTTATTTATATGTATAGGTATAGAATTAGATGGTAATTTTTTTATTGTTCATTATCTAGCCCGGAGGTACGGCGCTGGAGAGTAGAGATGATCGCTTTTCCAATTTCACTTATCTATCGTCCGGTTTGTTGCCTCGTCCGATCTCCGCGGAAATGTAATTATATAATACAATATAACAAAATTACGGCCAAGCTTAACAAGTATTTTACAAGATGTGAACTTGAAATTTAATACTACTTATGATAAAAATCATAATACAAATATTATTATATTATGAAATAATATTTATAGTCTGTTTTTTAATCCCGGAGACTAAACTGACAGGTGTAAGTGTCAAATTTTCAAATATTGTTACCATCTACAGCGGAATAGAATAGAAAAGAATAGAAAATCATTTATTCAAATAAACTTACATTGAAGCACTTTTGAATAGTCATTACATTTTTTTAATCTACCGCTCGTTCGGAAAGCTGTCTCATCACAAGAAGAACGAGTAAGAAACTTGCGTGTTGCTCTTTTAAATAATTTTATTATTACTTTACATTTTTAAGTTTAAGTGTGTGAATACAAACCACCAATTAGCACTAATTCAATTAAATACTCAAATAGAAAAAATATTGAATATATAACCATATTGGTTATATATTCAATATTTTTTTCTATTTGAGTAGTGATGTCCCTGCGTTACCGATTTGTTTAATCGGAAACTTTTATTTTAACACTAGCTGAGCTCGCATCTTCATCCGCATGGAATAATAACCTTAGATAGAATAAACACCCACAACATTTTTTTTAAATTTTACTAGTATATTTCCATTACTATCGTTGTATTACATAAAGTAAAAATATTTTTTGTCCTTTCCGTTCAAATAGTAATTTTTATAGTATTAAGCTACAAACCAACATTTTTTTTCTTTCAAACAACTAATTATTTTAGATAGCTGTATGTCAAATATACCTAAACACCATGCAATAAAAACAAGTAAATACTACGAACAAATAAAGGAATTAATGAAACATGGCTATGTGATCAATTTATATGCGGTCGATATATTTCAATGATATTAATAAACGCGAAAATTCGTGAGTATGAATGGATGTTTGTTACTACTCTTTCACGCAAAAATTACTGAACGGATTTTGATGAAACTTTACGGTAATAATAATAATAATAATCTCAAGACAATTCACACAGCGCCATCTAGTCCCAAGTTAAGCTAGCTAAAGCTTGTGTTATGGGTACTAGATAACTGATACAACTAAATAGATAATTTTTTTTTCGTAAATACATACATATTATACATAGAAAATACCCAGACCGATACAAACAATCATACTCATGAATACAAATGTTTGTGCCGTGCGAGGAATCGAACCCGCGACCATCGGATGTAAAGCGGTGTGCTAGACCGCTAGACCACGAGGCCGTCATATATGTAGCTTATACATCAGAATAACAAGGTATAAATTTCACGCGCATGAAATCGCGGGCAAAACTAATATTATCATATACGTAAAATTTTATAATAGCTCCAATTAACATTCGCAACACGGAAAAAAGATAGAATAGAGACAAGGATGGGAAGCAACATAATGATTCTTCTCACAAGTAAGTTTATAAGTCATCAAAGTTGATACGGTGTTTCGATGACGTCATAATTGCGGCAGCTAGTGTAGACAGAGGAGTCAGGTCACGTACTTATATAAAAGTAATTTACACCGTTCGCATGGTAACTCCATCTAACTTAGCGAAAGTTGGTTGATTAGGCGCGTGACACGACTACGCGCGCGTTGCCTAATTGTTTCGCCAATGTGCACCCAGCTTTAGATCGAGCTTCGCCCTTTGCTTGCCTTGTTTTATTGACTTGCAAGGGTAAGTTCGGGACCTGGATTGTTTGAAACCGTAGCCTTACGGAGGTGAATCAAGAATCGAGATCTGTTTGAATGGAATCAGTGAACTAAATAAATCTGTAATTAGTTTAAAACACATATATATATATTTTATTAGATAATAATGGTATAGTGCAGCCGCCTGTACGAACGGTTTACGCTGTGCAGGTGGCAGGCAGTGGAGGACGATAAGATGAGCATGAGGTCAGGTCAGTTAGTACATGGTGACAAATTCAGCAGGAATTTATCACCATGGCTTCCAGTGGGAACCACGTGGAGGTCAACCTAACATGGTACATTGCTAGCAATGGGGTCATCAATCCATATTACTAACAATCCCCTTTCCCCTCATATATATGTATTTACCGTTGGCTTCACTGACTTCAGTCCGACGGAACTTTACAGTTTATATCAGTTATTTCATATTGTGGTATTTTATTTCTCCTGATGACTTTGAAGTGTATTTTGGAAGTAACAGCTAAAGTAAATGGGGACTATTGACCGTGTTGCTAAAACCTTTTTTGTATAATCAATTATAATATCTCAGGACAATTTTCACAGCGCCACCTAGTATGGGACTAAGCAGAGCTTGTATTATAGGTAGCAGTTCAAAGTCATCAGGAGAAATAAAATACCACAATATGAAATAATATAACAGTACACATTTTTTTTAGACTAGTCTAATGCTGTTGAGCCGCAACTGGCCTTTACAGCTTCAATGGACGATAGGGGGCGAGTGCAGATGGCACTCCAAACCCGCGGAAGGACTTATGGACTGAAGGGCCAACTCCCGCCTGACGGATTCGACTTTAGTCGGGCCATCGGACCACTACGGGCTCGAACCTCTGCTCAGGCCATCGTAATTTCGGTAACCGTTTGAATTGGACGGGGAATCGATTGGAGAGGAATTAAATTATAAAATAAAATTTAAAAAAAAACTGCTACAGTTTATAAGTAACTCAAAAACGAAAACATATCGCGTTATAGCAATTGAATTGCGCCATCTAGTGACAAATATAGAAAAACTAAATTTACAAAAGAAGATTAAAGCCCCCTCTCATATTGCTTGTTACACCTGTTATGATTTGTTGGTTAATTAGTTTGTGAATATTAAATTAAACTTTAACTCGCGTTTGTAATTACTCGCAGCAATCCGCGTCTGACGATGTGTTGATTAGTTATTCATTTATCTACTGCGGCTAATATTATAATTAGATATACGTGCAGATATCTGAAACTTAATTATGTAACGCTGTTATTAACAATTCATAATTGTAACAGATTAAAGAACGATAAGTAATCTTAATTTTTGGACTTTCATGTTTAATATACATTATTTATATTGTAAACTGGGTTTAACAATGAATAATTTTAAGGTAAATTAAGGTATTTACCTCTCTCGACGATTCGAATAGTTTCTCACTAGCCGTGGTCACGAGCTCACAGGAGTAACAGAAATGTCAATGCCATTAGTTTTCTATATTTACCATAAATATTTATTATTTACCATAAAATTTGTGTTTACAATATAAAGAAATAATATTTATTTAAATAAACTTAATATAAGCATTTTTCAAATAATGCTACACGCGTTACTTTATTCAAATTGTAAAGTCAACTTTCGACCTTGAACCAACCAGTGGAAAAAACACTGCTAAATTCCTAGTGACCAAACTTACTGTTCTTCCTACCATCCTCCACTGATGTCCCCCCAACATATATGTAGATAACATTAGCACACCGGCTTGCACACCATTCCATTAACACCCATTACCAAAAAAATCAAAATCAATAAAACTGACAATAACATTAACACACTACGTTAAAAAAATAGTAAAAATAAAAATAATCATAAAAGTGATAGTGGACAAACTGTGTAAATAAACTTCACCTCCTATTTCCGAACTAGAGTTAAAAAAAACATACGCGTATGCGATACAAAATAAAACGCCAATAGCCAACAATAGCGTACTATTCCGCCGGCAGGAAAACATCACAGGAACTGTCAAAACATATTTTGTCAAAGCACAAATATGTATTTATTCCTTTTTGCGGGCACTTCGATGTCATTGTGAAAAATGATAACGGTATTTGGGTTTTTGTTTTGAATGCCATCAAACGCTTTGTTGCAACGCTTCTGTCTCCATACGGAATTTTGAACTTTGTTTCTTTTGTTTTACAGTCGCAATTGAAATCATAAGTCTTCTTATTCTCTATGTCAAATTCTTTAATACGTATCAGTAATAAATATATATTACTATATCACCCTATTGCTAATAACTCTCAATTAACATGTAACAGATCAAAATTGATAGGTTTACAATATTGGACCACATCAAAAACATCCACGTTCGAGGTAGTTTTAAGGTGACTCCCATACAGGAGAAGATTTTAGAGAGCCGCCTAAAGTGGTACGGTGATATCATGTGGCAACCATTAGACCACATGACAAGAACAGTGCTTAACATAAGTACCCAGCCCAGAAGACGCGGCAGACCTCGTCTCACATGGATGTCCGTTATTGACAGGGATATAAAAAGCGCCAAAATAACATCCCAAACGACCCAGGACAGAACGTCCTGGCGAAGACTGACCAGACGGGCCGACCCCAAAATAAATGGGACCAAGGCTAGGCAAAAGAAAAAGAATTCAAACGGGAATCCAAATTACGGCCTGAGGCGAGTTTCGAACCCCTAGCAGTGCCCTCAGAGTAAAGTCGTATCCGTCAGGTAGCAGTTAGCCTTCAGGTCTCCCGCGGATTTGGAGTGCCATCTGCACTCACCCTCTATCGTTCGCTGAAACTGTAAAGGCCTCTCTGTGAAGCCTGTGAAGACACCGTAAGACTTCTGGACTTTTGGGAGGTGCTTGGCTCTCTACTTTAGTAGTCTCAGCTCTATACGTACAGTGGCTAAGAAGAGAGGCTGATTGCGTAAAATGATGTCTACATTTACATTTACGACTGTAATGGCCAACTCAAGCCAGCAAAAAAAATAGTGTGACTGAAGCAGGAACACAACTACTAATAAAAATCTTTAATAATTGTAATGAATGTGTATATACCCCAAAAGAGCTCACAGCAAAGAAGAAACAATTAGTCAAAAGTGACATATAAAAAAAAACGAAGTTTATACAAAGAATGGTAGACAAGCTACCAGCAACAAATAGCATTAGAACAGGACCAAAAAATGGATTGATGAAATTTAACAACTGCAATGACAAGTTAAATTGTACTGTTCAGAATTGCAACCATTAAATAGTCCTTGCATATCCGCAAAACTAGGTTTTAAACTATTTCAAATTATAACATTACCAAAACAAAGTCGAAACTGCTATCTAGTCGCTTATATCTTTTAAATTACGCTGCAATAAAGACTTTAATGCAGTTTTCAACAATATACAACAAGATAGAGTGGTTCATAAGGAAGGTTTATATGTATAATGCATGCGTGTTATAGTATTGTATAAGTCGAGAAATTCAATGATTTGTAATGCATCCCTGCGAATCCAGAACAGATCGTTAGATAATCTAATATAGGAAGTAGACAAGAGGTAGACGAATAAATACATCAGACATGTAAATATTTTTTAAATATTAGGTCTATTCCCGATGCTGTTCGATTGGAATACGCTATAATGTCTTTTATAGATAAGCTTTATCAATCAAAAATAATCTGAACACAAGTTCCGGGAACAGCTCGAAGTTGCTCTGTCACACGATAAACCCGGCACCCCAACGCCGAATCCATAGAATACTAAGAAATGCGACTCTCTTATTAAAAAAACACATATAAGTGAGTACACATATAAGTTTTCACACACAATAGGAAATACATTTTATGAAATAATTCAAATATTTTTCATTTTATCTATTACGAAAGTTTGTGAGTATGGATAGATGTTTGTTACTCTTTCACGCAAAAACTACCGAACGGATTATGATGAAACTTTACAGTATTATAGGTTATACATCAAAATAACACATAGACTATAATTTTAGAAATATAATGATAAATGTCATGTAAGAACCGCCGTCTTAAACTAGGGCTCTTGGGCACACAGGACTACGGGGCCCTCTTGGAAAGTAAAAAAAAAAGCTCATTAGGCATAACAACAATAACATTACTTATTTGTTAAAAAAGTGTAGTGTGCCCGACAAAAATCTTTTGAGAATAAATGTTATTTCTTCGGGGGCCCTCTGAAAATGGGTGCCCTGGGCACGGGCCCCACGTGCCCTTATGGTAAAGATGGTATTGCATGTAAGTATAATGCAGACGATATTACGCGGGTCAGCTAGTTACCAATAGATTTGTAATTAATTAAATAACATTTAAATTCCATAAATTTTCAAAACTAAATGTCAAAGGAGATTTAGAAGTTTCACTTTTCATAGAAATTATTCAGAATCATCGACAGTGACGTGCCATGAGTACGTGTACTCTCCAAGAAACCACACCGCTAATATTAATGAGTATTTTCTGAGTAATCTCCTAATTTAGAAAGTGAACATCTTTCCAATATTTATGAACTCCATTTAAATAGCTCTCTCGTTTCTAATTAACATAATGCGTACCTACACCCAAATCAAAATCTGACATCCCGAAACGCAAGCGAAACTCAACGAAACTTTGGTAAAATTATTAAATTTACATCCCTTTTTCAATTCGGTAGGAAATTTAATAAATTACATTACATGCAAAAACAACGATCATTCAAAACAACAATTTTTATTTTTCAATTAAATATTATACAACGGCATTGCTTTTTTATTAAAAAGCGATGCTGTACATAATACACACATAATGCTGTACATAATGCACATAATACACTTAACAGCGTATTTGTTATTACAAATACGCTGTTATGTGTATTATGTGCTGTATATTTATGTATTTTTGACGACCTCGGTGGTCTAGTGGTCTAGCACACCGCTTTACGACCGATGGTCGCGGGTTCGATTCCTCGCACGGCACAAACATTTGTATTCATGAGTATGATTGTTTGTATCGGTCTGGGTGTTTTCTATGTATAATATGTATGTATTTACAAAAAAAAAAACTATGTATATGTATCAGTTATCTAGTACCCATAACACAAGCTTTAGCTAACTTAACTTGGGTCTAGATGGCGCTGTGTGAATTGTCCTGAGATTATTATTATTATTATATTTAATGAATCCTATATTTTTTTTAATTTCTATGATATTTTTAGTAATATAGCTTATAATTAAGAATAACACACAAGCTATAATTTAGAAAGATATTATGTAAATTGGTTAAGTAAGTGTGATGCAGACGAAGTCGTACGGGTCAGATAGTTATATGTATGTATTTATTACGTGTTATGTATTATTGTGTTATTCAATTATCATATAAATAATAATAATACATATATATACATACATAATAACAATAGATTATATAATATATACAAACAGCGTTATTTAGCCCTGAGCTTGTGTTATGGGTACCAGACAAATGATACAAATACTTTTTTTAAATCCATAATATACATATACAGAAAGCACCCAGAACGATACAAATAATCATACTCATTAATACAAATGTTTGTACTGCGCGAGGAATCAATGCCGCAATCATGAACTTGACTTGCATGATAGACATAGATAAAGTATTATTTTTGAAAAGTAAATTATTTTTTAATTAACCCACTTGTTTCTATTATTAACAACCGTCTCCACTGAATAACAAAAAGTTCTTTGTTAAGATACAGTGTAGGGTGCTATGATATTAACTGCTCTCTAAATATATTAAGAGTTCTTAGAGAATGGCAACATTCACAACAATGTTTTTATAGAAAAACTTGAAATCCATAGCACTGACAATATTATCTGATTACACTAATGAGTGCGTAGCGATTTCTATGTTGATTATCGCATGCCTATTACTTGTTATACTGTAATTATTATATAAAAAAAAACATCTATTCAAAAGAGCAACACACAAGTTTCTTGCTCATTCTTCTTGTGATGAATCTGCATTCCGAATGAGTGGTAGAATCAAAACATGACTATTCAACAGTGCTTGTAATGAGTTTATTTGAATAAAGATTATTTCTATTTCTATTTCTATTTGTGACACTCCTGGTGTTTCAGGCGTCTATGGGCTACGGTAACCGTTTACCATCAGATGGTATGTTTGATTGCTACCTTCGTGGTATAAAAAAATATCATACAAAACTAGGTGCACAGATAAAATAATTTAACAGAATTAAAAAGCACATTAATTTAATAGATTTATTTGTAAGCGCTTTTAACGTGTACTCTCCATCAGATTAAATATGATAATGAGTTAACGTGACGTTCATTAATAAGTTAATGAATCAACAATATTTATAATTAACTAACAGAAATGTCGCTGTAAACATTTTGTATAACACTGAAACTATGCAGAAATAATATGAACTACATATAATAAATTATTAATAATGAATGAATGAAAAATTTTTAATTCTCCGCAGAAAAGAAAATGAAATTAATATATATATAACTCTTTTAATCCAATCAAAATTCATTTATTCGTGTCGGACACTTCAGCCGATATGAACGTAATTTTTTTTTTGTATTAATATTTTTCACGACCGTCCAGTTCAATATACAGATTCAATTGAAAAGAACTAGTAAGAAACTCAACGAAATTTCTTTTTAAAAGCCTATTCATCCACATTGTCTACTTATATTTACATAATACTGAAACTGTACTGAAATAATATGAAATATAATAAATTATTACGACTGAATGAATGGATATAAAATCTTTTTTTAATACAAAATCTACTCGCAGAAAATAATGTTTATATACTGTTAGGTATAAAATAAATATATAAAAAAGTATTACATATTTATGTGGATAAGGGCAGAAAGACCGAAAAAGAGATGGACTGTGTGAAAGATGATATGGTAGTAAATAACGAGATGACTGCAAACAGGGATGAATGGAAGAGAAAAATATATTACGTTGACGCAAATAAATGGGATAAGGAAGAAGCAGATATGATGTTATATATAGTTATACATCATATCTGCTACTTCCTATATTCCTTATTGTATAAACATACAATGATGAGCAAGACTAAGAAGTAATAATGGGCGGCCTTATCGCTGAAAAGCGATTTTATCTTATTTCGACTTGCATATAGCGACATCCTGTGTATGTTTAGATAAATGTAAGCTATATCCTTCACATCAAAAATTTAATTAATATTCGTTCAGCCTTTTAGTCACTAAAAGGTAGTGTAGAAAGCAGTCATCCCTTTGCATTTAAAATATAGCCATGAATATAGATTTACTCATAATTTACTAGCTTCTGTTATCTGGCATCGCACTTGCAATTCCCCTAGTGCTCATGGGCGGCGGCAATCACTTACCATCAGATGGGCCGCAAGTTCGTTTGTCCCCTATGCTATAAAAAGTATATTTTCATCCCCACACTGATTTAGCATTTCAATTTATAATATTCTACACAAGATTTGTAAGCAAAAAGTAATATCCAACATCTTATATATCTGAAGCATCTCGTGTGTTATAATTTTGTGACAGCTCTAGCATTGAAATATGTAAAAGCTGATTAAAAATATTATTTTTCACAATGCAGACATATCATTACATTTATTTATTTACATATGTTTTACGGCCTCGTTGGTGTAGTGGTTTAGCATACCGCTTTATTTCCGATGATCGC